TCATTGATATAAATGAGATAAATTCCATTTTCTTCTTCAGAACTTATTCTTTGATATACATGATATTATATTCCAAAGTCATACTTAGTATTTTGCTAAATTTAAATTTCATGCGAAAAAAAAATGAAAACATGGGAATGCATTTTAAAGTTTGGCTTTCGTTTGACTTCAATATATTATTTTGAAAAAAAAAATTTTTCTCCTCCCTGTCTCTCTAACAAATAAGTGTTTAAAAATTTCACGTAACGCATATTAATCTCGGTACAGGTATATAATATATATATATTAATGATAAATAAAATATAAAATAATTGCATTGATTTGAAAATGTGTTCATCAAATATTGTACACCGGGCTTTGGTCTGTTCTGTTAAATAAAATAGGTATAGTGAAAGTAAAAGCGGTGGACGTCAAGAGACATTTGTCGGATAATGAACTGCCAAAATCGAATTTTTTTTTCCCTCTTGAGGGCAAATATCTGACCCCGAAGGGTGTTCACAGTGTGTGTACATCAGTAACCGTGTTGTAATAGACGTTTTAGACATTAAGTGCGTACACGTACACATAACCCGCCGTACAACGCGATATATACAGCTGGTGTGCGGTGTACACTTCGCTCCTCTGTATGGTAGGGCCTACACATACCAAACTGGCGCGCGTGTTGTTTTGGCCCGGGGTATACGTGGCTTTCGTCCAACTGTACATATAACCGAAAGCTCATAACCCGGGCCTGTTTTTTCGGTCAAAGTTAAAATAGCCTTCGTCGACCAACCGCCGATTGCCAGCCATATAGTTTTGCACACACACACATAGCAACTTGTGTATCATATACATCATATTTTTTCATTTACCAACCCTTATATCTCACACACACATATATATATTTATTTAAGTTATACCACTGCCGTGAAGTGACTTTTTGGCGGTCGACTGCGTTTCAAAATAAACCCCAAGTCACTGTGGAAACTGTAATATGTTATGTTATACATTCCCCGAGAAATACCATTGCTTTTATATCCCCTGCTGGCCATAATATTATTATTATTATTATTATTATTATTTTTATTATTATTATTATTA